CCTCCTCCTCCTCCTCCTCCTCCTCCTCCTCCTCCTCCTTTTCCCTTCTCACACTGAAGATGTTCCCTAGTTGGGTCATGAAATGTCTGCAAGGAAACCAGCAAGCTCAGAGAGCACCCAGGACCACAAATGTGTCCTTTTCTTTTTGACAATCCTCCTTCCCATCAGTCCGCTCTCTCACACACAAATATTTCTGGTGCTATAGCACTTTAAAAAAAAAGTTTAACATCTTTTTATGAATCCCTGTTAGAAGAAGAATTTTGTTTTCCCAGTTGTGTGAGGAAAACACACTTTCACTCCAAGAAGTAAGCTTTGCTTTTAAGGAAAGACTTATTAGTCCCCCCTCTCTCCTCTGCTTTTTGCTTGTGGGTTTCCTCCATCCAGTATTTCAATATACAGCCCATATCCTACATTGTATAGATATATGAAACTGAGGAGTGTGGGGAAAAAGAGCTTATTGCTTTTACAGAACTGTGAGAGGACATGCTAGCCTGTGGAGCAAATACATTGTGTATATTTTCTTCTCATGAGCCTAACTTGAAGCTTGAGAATTGTATCTAGGAACGCTGAAAACCCATCCTAACCAGAATCTTCTGATATAATAATAATAATAATAATAATAATGATGATGATGATGATGATGATGATGATGATGATGATGATGATGATGATGATGATGATGATGAGATGATGATGATGATGATGTTGTTGTTGTTGGAAGGGACCTTGGAGGTCATCTAGTCTATGATAGCAACTTTAGAGAGAACCCCTAGGAACTAACAACCATAAAAGGAAATTCGTAAATAAGGGCCGGGGGCGATAAAATTAGAATAATGGGAGAAGTAATCAGGGGTGGAGATAATATATTCACTTTAGAACAGGGGTCTTCCAACTTGGCCCTTGGATGACTTGTGGACTTCAACTCCCAGAATTCCTCAGCCAGGATGCTTTAAGACAGGGTCTTCAAACTTGGCCCTTTGATGACTTGTGGACTCCCAGAATTCCTCAGGCAGGATGCTTTAAGACAGGGTCTTCAAACTTGGCCCTTTGATGACTTGTGGACTTCAACTCCCAGAATTTTGGGAGTTGAAGTCCACAAGTCATCAAAGGGCCAAGTTTGAAGACCTCTGCTTTAGAAGCTTTGGTAGGTTGTGACGACATGATTACAGTACGATTGCTAAGCCAACGAAGAAGAGGTGGGAGGTAAATTTGCAACGGCAATGGAGAATATAAAGAATGAATATTGAAGATTTAAACTGTGTGCTTGCGTGCACAAGGAGCGCCCCCTTTGCAAAGGAGTGCAAATAAATTACCATGGTTTTCTCTTGGAAGTTTTGGCCTGGGATTGTTTATTTCAGCTAGACAACGAATCCCACAAGAGGAATCCCAGCCATGTCTGGCTCTTTTGCTCTGTCTTTGGTTTCTCAGAGAAGGTGCCCGCTCTGGAACCAAAGGGCCACATATGGTTTGAAAGAGGCCTCAGAAGCTGCAAAGTGCCCTTAGATGTTTTCTGCTCCATCAATTTGGATTTTCAAGAGCAGAAACATTTTCCTCCAGGTGATTTTTTTTTTTCATAAATTTTTTTTATTTTTAATTGAACAACAAGTACAAATGATGCATCTACATACACCAGCAAGAAATAAAAATAATCTTACTCAAAGCATTTTCGGATACGCTCGGCAGTCCCCGCCCTGCCTCCATCCTCATCCACTTTCCTCTCCTTCCTCCCCCTAAACCCACAACCGCTCCTCCTTCCTCCTTTCCACCTCCCTACATCCCCTCTGCCTTCTTAACCACCTCATCGAGTGCAGATTGGGGTACTAGCCGAGCATATCCTCCTCCAGGTGATTCTTATGACACCTGCAGAATTATAACTGATTGAGGGGTCCTCGGTACTCTCTGAGCTGGGCTGTTTTCTTGCAGGCATTTCATGGCCTAACTAGGTAACATCATCAGTGCTAGGGGGCTTGTATTGTATATAAACAGAGAACAAACCCAACTCTCTTCTAGCACTGAAGATGCTATCTAGTTTGAGCCATGAAACGTCTGCAAGAAAACAATCAAACTCTGAGAGCACCAAGGACCTTTCATTTCAACCGTGAGCCACAAATATTCCACTTTATAACTGACCGGGGAGACAGGCAAGGTCCTTCCCACAAGTCACCCATGGATCTGTGATATCGGGGGGTTTTGTGTGGTGCAAGACCGGACTAGCAAAGTGCTCCAGAAGCAGGGACCGGACAGCCCTGAGGGGGTGGAGGGCGATGGCCAAACTTCACGAGGGCAAAACCCCTGGAGATGTGGCCCACCAACTGTGTCACAGATCTCTGTGATGTCAGCAGTGAGATCACAGTCCAGCCAGGTTCAAGGAGAAGACATGTCCAAGGCAAGACAAGAGGGGAGAAAAGGAAAATGAAGGAACCCGCCAGGTGGTGAACCAGCGGACGAGAAAGGCAACATCTCGCTGGTATGTGTGATCTGGCCTTGGCTGGTGCTGAGACGCAAGGGGGCAGGAGACCACTGGCCCCTTCCCACCTCCTCACAAGCACCACCGCCCCACTGGAAAGAGACTTCCTGCTTCCCTCCTCCTCGTTCTCCCTGAACCTCTGCTCTCTTCACAAGGTCCTCCGTCACCATCCGACCGCAGCCGCAGCCTCCGAGCGGCCATGTCTGAGAGCAAAAGAGCCCCCGGGGCTGCGAACCACAGAAGCCGGGTCATCAGAGTGACTGTCAAGACCCTCAAGCGCAAGGAGCAATTTGAGGTGGCCGACAGCACCCGCGTCCAAGAGTTCAAGAAGCTGATTGCTGACCGCTTCAAGACGCCCCCTGAGCAGCTGTCCCTCATCTTTGCGGGTGAGATTCTCAACGACCAGGATACCCTCATGCAGCTCAAGATTGGCGACGGGTCCAAAGTCCATCTCTTCATCAAGTCTCAGAGGAAGCCCTCAGGCAACCCAGGGGACAATCCAGCTACGCCCACCGCCTTCTCACAAATGCCAGCAGCTCGAGAGTTCTCCTCAGAACACAGCCTGGACCTCTCAGATTGGAGCAGCCAGCCTGAAGACCTGATGGCCTCCTGCCACGAAATTGTTGCCCAGACCACGGAGAACCTTTTGCTCCAGATGGTCACGCTGAACCTGGATGCCTCTGCCTTGAACAGCAACCCGCTTCTCCTGGGCTTCCTCCTTGGGGTCACCGGCATGAACGTTCTGGACCTGAATGCCCAGGAGGTTTCTGACTTTGTCAGCGAGGCCCAGGAGCAGGATGAGACCCGGCAGGAGCTCATCATTGAAATGATGCAGCACCCCTTTGTGCAGAACCTCTTTGGGGACCCCGAACAGGTCAGGCAGATGATCCTGTCTGTGCCTCAGATGCAGCAGCTGGCTGAGCAGAACCCAGAGATCAACCACATCCTTAACAACTCCGAATTCCTGCGAGAAATGATCGATGTGGCCACCAGCCCGGCTGTGATGGATGAGATCATCAGGAACCACGACCGAGCCCTGAGCAACCTGGAGAGCACCCCAGGGGGTTACAGCGCCTTGCAACAGCTGTACAACGACATTGAGGTCCCAATGCTGAACGCGGTGCAGGCCCAGTTCCAGGGCAGTTCGTTTCCTCCCTCAGACACGAAACCTTCCCCTGGGGGGATCAGCCCCCTCTCCCGGACAGAGAACAGGGAGCCTCTGCCCAACCCATGGGCGCCCCAGTCGAACAGCAGTGGTGGTGACAATATATGTAACGGTGACATCAGCAGTGCCGCTGGTAACAGCGCTGAGCAAGGTTACATCCTGCTAGCAAACCCGGGGCCTCAGGCCGGTCCTGGATCGTTCTGACTTTCGTAGGTTTTGTACCAGGTAGTCGAGTGCCTGTTGGACCTCAAGTACGTCTTGTAGAGGTTGCGGGACCGCTTCGGATTACCGGGGTGAGTCTACAAGGAGTCAGTGACGTTGAGGGGCCACTCTTTACTGCGTGGAGGCGGAGTTCCCACCTGTGTCGAGCTCCCGTCCAAACTGGCCAAGTCAGCCTCTGCCCTGCTGCTGACCAACCCCCGAGCGGTCCAGGCTCTTCTCCAGTTGCAAATGAGTCTGCTGGTTCTCACCAGGGAAGTCCCTGATTTCCTGCAAGCCTTGACAGACCCAGATGTTGACCCAGAAAGCATGGAAGACTCTGACGAGGGGGAGAGCCCGTCTTCGGAAGCAGAGAGCTTCATCTCCATTGAAGAAAGCTTGGAGCTGGACAGCAACGCATCCAAAGCAGACGATGGCGACAAGGAGGAGGAGGAGGCGGAAGAGGAGGAGGAGGACATGGAACAGCAAGGTCCAGAGGGCCTTTACCAGATCCAGTTGGAGCAGCTCAGAGCGATGGGCTTCCCCAACCAGGAACTGAACCTGCAGGCTCTTGTGGACACAGAAGGAGATATCGGTTTGGCAATTGAAAAGCTAACAAACTCTCGTGCATCCTAGCTACAGATTTACCTTTGCCTCTTGTAGGGTCATCTGACACACTAAAGTCAGCATGGTGGATATAAACTGTGCCTTGGTGCTCCTTTCCTCCGGTTGAGACCCTGGGTGGTGAGCATGCTTTCTTGCAGATGGGCTGCCACCCCCTCGCCTCTCCGGGTCTTGAATTTTTGAAAAGCAGCATTTTAAGGTGGGAGCCTGCTTGTTGCAAGGCCAAGGGACGTCCTCCAGCCGCCATGGTTGCCTCCCTTCCAGGGCTGCCAGGTAGCTGCAACCCCTGGCTTTCTTCAGTAGCATCTCCAGCCACTGAGACAAAAGATGCAGGAAAGTAATCAGCGGTGCAGCAACAAATGTGGGTCTCTCTCTCTCTCTCTCTCTCTCTGCATCCTGATTACTGTGGTTTATATTTTGCTTGAGTTTTTTTTGTAGAATTGTGTATTACGTCTTTGTGTTGATGAGCTGTGTACTGGCCTAGAGGTGGAGCTCTCACCTCACAATCAGGAGGCTGTGAGTTCCATCAGAAACAGCGGCAGATATTTCTCTCTCTGGGTGCAATGAGTAATTGTCTGCTGTGAACTTTGTATAGGCATCAGGAGGGGTAAAATGTTTAGTAAAATAAGAAATGGATGGTGGAAATTTTGGCTTCATTGCCACACCCCCCCCAGATACGAGCGTTTATTTAGCGAGAGTTCACAAAAACGAGGTTATTCAGAAAGGGCACTTGCATTAGAAATTCAAAATTGTGATCAAAAACAGGCCTCGGTAGCCATGTGACTTGGACTCAGTCTCGGCTGCTGCGGCGGCCATTTTAACTCTGTGACTTGCTGCGGCGGCCATTTTAACACTGTGACTTGCCTGGGCCGGTTTGGGCCTACAAGAAGCCAGAAGTGGAGTTTGTTTTGGGGGGGAGGTTGGTCACATGGCCAAGCACGATCAGGCCGGCAGGACCCTTTGTTTTGTTTTCCTGGAGTTGCCTGTGGGACATCTGCTGCTTGCTGGGCTTGAGGACTGGGCTTGTAGAGAGCTAGAATTACTTCTGTATTTTAAAATATTTTTTGTTACTCTATAGTACTGTGCTGTATTGTTTGCGATTACTTTGGGAACTGCTGTGCTTTTTATTGTTTTGTAAGTACAGCAGGGGTCTTCCAACTTGGCCTTTTGATGACTTGTGGACTTCAACTCCCAGAATTCCTCAGCCAGGCATGCCTAGTTGAGGAATTCTGGGAGTTGAAGTCCAGGGGTCTTCCAACTTGGCCCTTTGATGACTTGTGGACTTCACCTCCCAGAATTCCTCAGCCAGTGTGCCTGGCTGAGGAATTCTGGGAGTTGAAGTCCACAAGTCATAAAAGGCCCAAGTTGGAAGACCCCTAAATTAATGAGTTTGATTTTAAAATGTTGTAATATTGAGTCTGATTCATTTGATGATTACGAGCCTAATGGGCAGGCTCTATTAGGCTCGTACCTCAGGGACTACCTGTACTTAATCTGGATGTGTTTAGCCTTTTTATTGTTTTAAAATATTTTTAGTATTTTTGAGTAAGTATGCATCTATGTGTCTCTTTCTGTGTGTGTGGTATGTGTGTGTGAATTGTAAGCTACCCAAAGTCATTGACTGGGGCAGCTATAGAAATTGAACAGACAAACAAATAAATCAAACTTTAAGATGAGAAAATAGTGGCAGGAAGCCAAGGGCAAATAAAAGCCGGGCATCAGAGCATCTTCCTGCTTCCTTCATCACATGGAAGTGAGAGTTGGGTATGTTGTTGAAGAAAAAGTCTTCATCATGGTTCAGTCCAAGCCGGGAATAAACAACATGACGACTGCTTTAGAAAGAAGGTTGCAGTTTATTGAAGAGGAGAGCCAGACAGGAAGATGACTCTGGAAGAAAAGAGAGAGAGCACATGTAGTAGGGAGCGGGTTTTATACCTTCTGGGGCTCTAGAGGTGGTTTCCTGTTCCTGTTTAAGGGTTTGTATTTCCTGTGTTATGCACTTTGACCTGAGTCTGACTGTGCCCCTTTGGCATCCGTGGGTTAATCCTATTAGGTCCTGTCTTAAAGTTTGGGTGGGGTGTGTAGATTTTAGGTGTCTTTGTCTTCCTAAGCTTTCTAGCTGGAGGCCTCCAGCCTTTCTGAATGGATTATCACATCTGCATTTCTACAGAGCCGGTTTCTGCTTGGGGGAGGGAGACTTGGGGCTATTAAGAAAAAAAACTGGGCATGCTTTTCTGCCTCTTTAAGATCCTTTGAGGAAATATAATATTCTGCCCTTTTAATATTTCCTTCTCGGGGGGGGGGAGCTGACTTTCCACAATGTTATGAAAGTAGCAATAGAAGAGAATTATTTGTAACTCAGGGTTGAAACTGGGGGGTTGGACTAGAAGACCTCAAAGGTACCTTCCAACTCTATTGTTGTTGTTGTTATTGAAATGAGGCACCCTTGGTGCTCTCCAAAGTTGGCTGTTTTCTTGCAGATGTTTCATCATCATCATCAATGCTAGGAGGGAATGGGGGAGAGGAGGAGGAGGAGGAGGAGGAGGAGGAGGAGGGCGGTGGGGTCCAGCTTGGTGGTTTCCTTGCAGACGTTTCATGACCCAACTAGGGAACTCATCAGCACTAACATTATCACTAGCACTGATGATGTTGTCTAGTCAGGTCATGAAACGTCTGCAAGGAAGCCACCAAGCTCAGAGGGCACCAAGGACCCCTCAACTATGAAAGTAGGTTGGTGGATTTCAGGAGCAACAAGGAGACCCCCAAATCCCTGGTGCAGAAGGATGATGGAAAGAACACAGAGAGGATGGCTAGCATGAGAGGAGGAACTTGCGTTGCTTTGATCCTTGAGAGAATAAATGAAGAAATAGCCAAAGAAACAGAACAGCAGCAACATCCTTTCTCCGTGGGGAAAGTACCCAAACTGGGGCTGCTTTCTCTCTCCAGAGTCCTCTTCTCCGTCACTTCCCCAGAGGAACCTCAAGAGGGGCTGGGGCTCCCGTCCTTCAAAGCCCTGGGCTCAGAGAGCGCTTTGAGAGGCTCCCTGAGTGAGGCAATGCCAGCTGGGAGACCCCCAAGCACCGCTGTCATTTCAGGACTGTGATGTCACGGCCATGATGCCACAGTGGATTTGGGGGAGCAGGGTGAACATTCCCGGGGGGGGGGCAGGAAAGAAAGCACTGGCCCCTGGATTGGGAGCAAGGCCCGGGCAAGGCCTGCCTGCTGAGGGGGCTCGGGGCTCTCGTAAGGCAGAGCGAACCACCTGGGAGCCTCCCCAGGACCACCCGTGACCCCCTGGCCTCGCCTGCCCTTTGGCTAGGAATGGACGGGTGGGGGTACCCCAGCCATGAGCAATGACCCCAGCGCCAGCCCTGTGGAGAGCAGCAGGGAACCCAAAACCATAAAGGTGACTTTGAAAAGCTCAGGGAAGACCCAGTACTGTCAGCTAGCCGAGAAGAGCACCGTTGGGGAGCTCAGGAAGGCGGCCTCCCACCATTTCTCGGTCAACAAGGAGCAGATGCTTTTGATATTTGCGGGGAAAATATTGAAAGACCAAGAAACTCTTCTTCAGCACGACATCCAAAATGGAGGCGTAGTGCACGTGGTGGTGAAAAGGCCAGAGCTCAGAAACAACCATGCCCTGCAAACACACCTGGCAGCACCAGGCTGTAGTGCTCCTGGCCCAGCTGCCGGGGTCTCGGAGTTTTCCGGAGGGGTTAACTTGCAACCGTTGCTGAGAAGCATCAGGAGAGACCTGGTGACCCTGCTAGACCTTTTTAGTGAGTTGCCTCAGCACTTTCAGCATCATCCAGAGCTCATGTTTCAGGTGGTGAGGAGTTCCACCATTCAGAGTTTGCTCTCCGATGAGTGCAACCCTCTAACCGTCACCTTCATCCTGGGAGTCTCCAGCCTGGTCACTCTGAGAGTGATGCAATCAAGAGCCGAGAAGAAGGAGGAGGTGTTTGGTGACGGGGAGGTTGCTGACGTTCTGGAGAAAGCTTTTGTGCAGAACCTCCTCGCCAACACAAAGGAGATGGCCCAGTTCGTGTCAGAGAACCCGGAGCTGAAAGCGTTTGCTCAGGAGACGCCACAGTTTGGCAGGCTGTTGAGCCTCAGTGGCTTAACTAAGATGATGGTCATCTATAAGAAGCTCCCGCAACTGGTGGGCACCGTCACGCCAGGCATGAGCCTTGAAGCAGACATGCTGGATGATCTGGAGTCCTTCCGCCAGTTGTTTGTTGACATCCGCCAGGTCCTCTCCAGTCCAGAGGTTCAGGATGAGCTTGAGGAAAGGATGCTGAGGCACACTCTTGAAACCAGCCCTTCCTTAATCCGACTTGCTAAAGAAAATCCAAGCGTTGGCCACATGCTGAGCAATCCGAAGATTGTGGGAGAAATAATCAGGTACATCCGGAAGCCAGAAGTCAAGCGGGAAATGGACAGGCATTGTGATCGGATCCTGAGCAACCTTGAAAGTTTCCCAGGAGGCCATAACATCTTGCAACGCATGTATAAGGAAATCGAGGAGCCCATCTGGAGTGCAATGGAACAACAGTGTGAAAATCCTTTTGCCACACAGGGGGTGAGTCCAGCTTCAAATCAGGCCATTCTGTCCCCTGGACTAGAGAACAGAGCCCCTCTGCCGGACCCCTGGGTCCCTCGGCAGCCGCCTACCGGGCCTCAGGGGATGGGCCAGGCCACCCGCCAGAGAGGTGCTGCCAAAGAGGGAAGCCTCTGTCCAGAGAAGGTACCAAAAGGGGCCCAAGTGGATTTTAGTTTAGAAAGCGGTCAAGCGAAGGGCTTTCTCCTACCCGAAGTGTCAAATGCCAGCCCAGAGACTCCCGCCTCTTCCTTGCTGGGTGGGAAACCCCCAGCAACAGAGCCTCCATCCTCGCAGGCTCCGGTAGTCCAATCTCAGGATCTGCAGGACCTGCCTGGCCAGACTAATGCAAGCCCAAGAGAAGGGCTGGGTTCTCAAGAGCTGGGGGAGACAGAAGGCAACCTTGAAACAT